GGGGGGGGAAAGAGGCATCAGTCCCCAATAGGGTCATGCAACATTCCCTGACCATTAGAAAAGAGGTCTTCACCCTCCAGCTTTCAGCAGTCATCTGCTGCTCCAACAGATATTGAATTTCCATGCACAAACATTCTAGTGATAATTTTCAAGTGCTGGCAGGATAAAGCCAGCTGGAGTGGTGCTTTACCATCCCCCTCTGGCCACCGAGCCTGTGCTGGATTTAGCTGCAGAAGCTGCTTAGAGTCCTGTGGCTTTATCCCTTCACAAAGTCAGATTCCTTGCTAGCCTCCCTCTTATTTCCAAAAAAAAGCCTTCCCATTTTCCCCTGCAGAATTTCATCTATTCTTTTACAAAGGTACTCTAGTGAGGACGCACTGCAGTCCACAGCCCCAGCTCCTGCCCAATGGCTCATCCTGCTAATACTTAACCATCAAAAAAACAGAAGCGCAGGGAAGCTGGATTAGCTCTGGATATTCACTTACCTTAGTCATGTCATGGGGATCGGGCACAACGAACATTCCAGGGGGCGGCTCCTTATAAATGGACATGATATCCCTGAACACAAGGAAACAAGAATTAGCCAATACCTCCCTCAGCATCCCTCACTCCTAGGAAAATAACATTCATTACAGAAAAAGACTTATGTATCTAAGAGCATGTATGAGAGAGAGAAAACACATGCCACCACAACATAATACGTCAGAAATATTTTAAAAAGGAAACAATGAAAATGGACTGTGGGGAAAGGGGGCAGGGGGTTGTGCTGTTTCACTGTTTTCTGGCTGAACTCTTTCTGCCTACTTGAAAGAATAACTGTGCAAGATACAGCGTGCTCACAGGCTCTCCCTATATTAAAAAATAGAGCTGTAATCAGATACGACTCAGTACAGCTTAGGAACATAGAGATGGAGTGCAAGCACCATCACAGCCAAAGAGCTCCTCCCAGTGTCAACGAGAGTCAAATCAAACTACTGGTGGAGTTTTTGTTTTGTTTCTAAAACAGCCTTCCTTTTTGTAAAAAGAATTGAGTTTAGCTGGAGTTTCATTAGTAAGAATGAGTGGGTGAGACAATTAGGAAGCGAGGAAAGAACCTTGTTTTCCTGCAAAGCCAGTGCTTTCAGTCACTTGGATCAGAAGCCACCCAGAGACTTTGTATCACTTTCTGAAGAAGGTAAACAGAGGTCTCCGAGGTGGTAGAACATGGATGTTCGCATAATCTGGCAAGCGGCGATATTTGTGATAAGAGCAAAGGAGTAACCTATTGAAATAATGCCAGGATTTCTAACAATGTAAGAACATATTGCTCGTTATTCTGGAGGTTATCAGCATGTCAGATCTATTGTTAACAATTTTTTTTATGCGTAGCCTCTAACACTGCACAGTTAGACAGAGAGCAGCCCAAGTGCAATAGGCTCTAGGCAGGAAATGAAAGAACAAGGGTAGGGACAGGCTAAGATCTAATACCTTATAAAGTTCAGTCAGCCCCTCCACTGGGAACAAGAGAGAAAGCTCTCCCCACACCCTTCTGCCTCTGACATTTTAACCCAAAGCTCCCAAATTGTATTGATGCTGGATTTTGAATTGATAAACAGCTGTTGGGTAGATAAATGAGGAGCAGAAAGGCGGCAGTTTTTGGTCAAGCAGGGAGAGAGCTCCAAGTCAAAACACGCAACAGAGTCTTGAGACCAGAACTGCTCCTTTGTGTCAGCATCACCATTAACCTCTGATCAGTCACCTTGCCTGGCTATCATGCACCTGTAAAACACGGGCGCCCAGTTGTGAAACTCTGCATCCGTAAAAGGACATTGAAATCTTTCTGGAAGGGAGGAGGAAAGGCAGCATTATTCCAGGCAGCAAAAAAAAAAAAAAATTCTGAATCATTGGTAGCAATGAGAGGGGTTAAACCAGGTGGAGAGGGCACAAGATTGTCTATTAATCCTTCTTTCAGATGAAGGAAGTGTGGTTGCTGCAGTAACCAGTGGGGGAGTTTTGCCAGAAATTGCTGACCCCGGTGTGCCTGGCCAAACTCCGGGAAGAGAACAGCATAGTTTATTACATTTCCGCAGACATTTCAAGTTGCTAAGGGATGCTTCGCTTCCTGTGGCACGCAGCATTGCAGCCTGCAAAACAGCTGCCTTGCCCTAGAGGTAGGTATACCCTCAGCCACAGTTGTACAGCTTGCAAAGCGCTTAGCGAGCCTTCCGGATGCAAAGTGCTTTATAAATAGAAAGTAGCATTAGTATGCCGGCTCTAGAGCACCAGCAGGGAACCAAGGAGAGCCGACTGTCAATGAGGCCAGAGGGAATACAGAGCGCCGAGGCACAGCGAGCGTCTGAATGCAGGCAAATCCGCCCGGGCCTGGAGAAACTGCCGTCTTTGCCAGCAGGGTTGGCCGGGGTTAAGAATACTAAGGCGAGGAGCCAGGCTGCCCTGGGAAAGGTTAAGGGTTAACAGATGAAGAAACACACCCAGGACCCTGGGACACGACTCAAGTGGCAGCTTCAGGGCAGAGTCCAGGACAACACAAGGATGACACATGCCGAGCAGGGGGAGGTGGGTATTAGCCTCCTCCCCACACCGGGCAAACGGCCTCCCCAGCACATGCAGCCCGAGACCCAGCAGCGACACTGGAGCAGATGCCTTGGCCTCGAAGCGCTGCGGGGAAGAGCAGGCCTGGCAGGGTGGTGGGGAGGCTGCACCCAGGGGCCGGGGCCGGCTG